AGTTTAGGCCCAGACACGGCTAGTGACGTCAGACTTAAAGACCGGATTGCTCAAGACCACTTTAAATGTTAACATTTGAAATTGCTCAAACTCTTTGGAAGCAAAAACTGGAAAAGATGAAGTGGCACAAGACTTTTTCGCAGTACTGTATCAAAAGTGAGTTTTGCTGTCAAAAGGAATTCTGACAATAAAAAAAATATCCAGAGACCTGGAATTTACAGAAAGAGCTCTTTAATGCACAAGAAATAATTCATGAAATAAGCTGTAATCGATCCGGTCTCCTCGTACACAAATATAGCCTGCTCGTGCTTATGTGACAACATGTCGTTCACAGCGTGAAAAGGGTTCACATCTGCTCTCACAAAGAGTGAAGCACCACACTGACCGGATGCTCTTTGACAGCCTGTGTCTGTCCTCCTTTTGTCTCTTTCTAGCATTTTGCCAGTCAAACTTTATGACACACACCTGTTTCCTGTAATTCCCGTTCACTCCTTTAAGCTTCGTCTGGTAACATCCTTCAGTCCAGTCACGGTCTTTTAAATGAACGATGGGTTGATTGTCAATGCAATCTTTAAATCCTGCACAGTTGTAAAAAGTAAAGCCAATCTATTGTTACCAGCACAGACTACTTACCACAGAGCGCTTTAGTAACCATAGAGAGGAATATTTTACTACATCAAGAGCATAAAATACTACTGCTTATGTGAGCTTTCTCTCCAAGAGCTAAGATTTGACAGACATTCATAGCCTTTTACTTCAAAGCCATAAATTACAGGATAATAAGATATAAAGTGGAAATACTACTGAAAATGAACAGCATATTTCTGTCTGTGACTCTCCAAAGAAAAACAGCAGGGGCTTTCTCCTGATTTACTCTTTTATCAATCAGAGCATTGCTCAGTGCTGTGTAAATTTGTAAATCAAGAGGTCCCATGACACAAAGACAGTGATGTTTCAACAGCTGAAGTGATTGAAAAAGGCTGCAGAACACATCAAAATTATCCAGACAGCCTAAAGCATCGTTAGGGCCCAGCTGTTTAAACTAAACATAGCTTTAAGCACACGCAAAGCATCATCCAATTACATTTGATAATCTGGGCAATCACAATCAGTCAAAAATCAGAAAAATACTAAAACTGAAGCAAAGCCTGAACTTCATGCTCAGAGAACACAAAAGGCACATACTATGCACCTTTAGGCGGCTATCAATGGGATTTACCAATAATTCATGTAATCTGAGTTTGATAAAAGATTAAAAGGAGCTGAAATCGTGTGTTGCTGTACGCTGCTGTAGGAGTCTTTCCTCAGAGTTTAATAAGCGTCTCCAGTTTCACAGATTTAACCACAGCTGACACGTTTACAAGTGGCTGCAAAGAATAAACACAACTTGAGCTCCTATTAAAACTTTTCTGAAACCATGATTTGATTCTGGTGAGCACGCTCATATGTAGCATGAAACTTGTGTTTAGGATTGTGGATTGTGCGCATCCTGTCATGTAAAGGTTGTGTGTGTTAGATAGTAGAAACGGGCAGTTTTATATCCAACATGTTGTCAGCAATGAGATAAGAAGGCTGTCTGATTGTTCAGTACCACTGAGGCGGAGAGATGCTGCTTATTTACAGTAGTGAACTCTATTGCAAAATTTAGCATGATTCATGAAAACTCAAAATGCATGCTAAAAGTAGCATATTGATAATATTTTTAAAGCTTCCACAGTTTCACAAGAGTACACCGGTAAGTACCGGTAACAGCCATGGTTTAAGAGAAGCTAAGCTCCTCCCCTACCTGGGGCTGCACTAAAGACTAAACCTGGTCTCGTTGCAGACCCTGTCTATATACAGTACCATTATCTTCTGCGCTGACAGGGATTATTTAAGGCTTTTGAATTAAATACTTAAAAATGTGCAAATCAAATCTAGGCCAAATATAGATAACCTAGAAATATATATATATGTATTTTCCCTTAGAAAGACAGAAAGTTTAACACCAAAATGAACAGGTACTTAAACTTTAACACTAAAGACATCAGAGTCGCAAAAATATTACACAGACTGACTTTACAAATTCTTCTGTTTGTGTTTTTATAAGAAGTCCACAGTCACAACTTGCACCTCGCTTACTC